TTCCATAACCAAATAGCAGCTCCTGGTGCAGATTGTGTGTGTGTGTGTGTGTGTGTGTGTGTAATATATATAAAATCTCAAACGCCATTCTAATGGGCAACTTAGAGTGATTAGGTTTTCAATTGTGGAAGGTGTTTTTTTATTTTTGTTTTTAAAAACAATTCAACTCCTTTTTTGAATGGAGAAGGCACATTTAAGTTTTCAGTTTTCAAGTGAACTAGCCTATCAGCTTTCAAGTGAGCTGCACATACAAGCCACTAGGATCATATGCAGACCTGCTTGAGAAAAAGAGCATGAACACTCTCTAGTCTCACTTTAGGACTAGACTGTAAGATGGTTGGTGACTTCTCTGTTTGTTATTTACTGATTTCAGTAAAATTGAACTACTCTTGTCTATGTAAGGTATTCATTCAAAGCGGCTTGCAAATAAAAAAAGTGAGGAGAGTATCCAAAATATAGCATGTAGGCAGATGAAAATGATGGACTACGTGGAATTGGCGGAGATGACTGGCAGAATCCGTGACCAGGAAGAAGAGTCGGTGGAAGAAGATTGGAAGAAATTTAAAGACTATTTACAGAAATATTGCAAAATTAATGAATGTTAGAATGATGTTGGATTGAAGTTAAGTGGTTTCTAGCTGTACAGGTACAAAAGAATATGGAAAAATTGGTTTTTAATATGTAAAAATTTAAAGTTATAATATATCAAGATTAAAGATTAGGATTAAAAAGGAGGGAAAGGAATTGTTGGATTAACAAATTTAATTGGAATACAAAAGAGGGAGGTATGAGGAGGTCCTGGAAACAAGTAAACATAAAAGAAGTGAGGAAAAGATGGAATTGTTTTTAACTGTTTTTTCTTTTTTTCTACTTTGTATTTTTCCTTTTCATTGTTAATTTTTTTTTTTTTACTAATGTGATTTTTTTTTCCTTTGAAACTTTAATAAATATTATTTAAAAAAAACAAAACGAAACATAGCATGTACTTTTAAACCATCATATATCTCTGCTGGAGTCAGTTGACAGCAGAATGCCTGAGAAACAAAGTCTTAAATGCTTTGGAAAAGACAAATAATGGTGGAGCCAGCTGGATCTCCTGTAGCAAAATGTTCAAAACACTGTTGGGCCAGGGAACTTGTGACCATTCAGATGTTGTCAATCCCAGTCAACATGGCCAATGGCTGGTGGTGTTGGGAGTTGTAGTCCAGCAATATCTGGAGAGCTCCAGGTTCCCCATGTCTGCTCTAGGTGCAACTACAGAAACCACATGTTTTATGGGTAAGGCTCTGTAGAAATGACTGACCTAATTTTTGTGTCCATTTTCATGGCTATCAAAGAGAGATCCTTTGGGTTCCATTGATTTTCATGAGGAACACATTTGCCTTGCTTTGATAAAGTTCTTTCCAGAATCATTTCCCATGTTCCTCATCACACTTATGGCCTCGGGGTCTGGTCTGAGATTTTTGTAAAGTTATAACCTGGCCTGGATTAGATGATGGATTAGATAGCTCTCCTAGGTGTGGTGTGGGGCGAGAACAACAGTGAGGTTAGGCCTTATCGCCTTGACTACTTATCAAACCTACCCCTACTCTAATTGTCCCAACTGTCTAATAAATGAGCGCAAAAGTTCCTATGTGTGTCAAATCTAATACACACAGGCCTATTTTGATGTGGTTGATTTTGCAGAGAAAAACCCAGGAATCAATTTTACATACTGAACATCCATAATGGATGGGCAAGAGGAAAATGTGAGTCCTCACTTCCCACAGTTGAATGATCCAGGAAGGGCCAGGTATTGACAAATTTGCCCCAATGGTGGTTAGTGGATATGTGCCTTCTGAATATAACTGAAAAGATGGGTCAATAGATTTGTGTCCCTCTTTTATTACCCTCCTGATTACCTCTAATGCTTACTTTGTTTTAAAGAGATGTAAAACCCTATAGCAGAGAGTGCAAGAGAAATGTTCATATATAGTGATATCAATATCTATTGATATCGATATAGATACAGATATAATACAAAACATTTGGCACCCAGTTGCAATCACGTCTTTAAATATAAAAGAAGAAACACACACACACACACACACACACACACACACACACGTTTGTGTCATTTCCTCTTCCATCTTCCATCATCTGTGAGTGTCTGAGAGAATCCATGCAATTCCTGTATGGAAAATAAATTGAACTGGAACAACTCCTCTTAAACTGTACAATCAAAGTGAGGAGGGTTTTGGACCTCCCCATCCCTGGTGATTTTGCTATACTGTGTAGTTTAGCTCTTCCCCCTCCCTGCCTGTCTCCCCCCAAAAAATCTGGGCTGTGAACTCTGCAGAATAGAAGCCAGTCAGGCCACATGCTTCTTCAAGGTACATCTTTGGAAGCGTTGTGCAAGAGTTAATGTGTCACTCTAGATCTTTTCTCTACATTGAAACCAAGATATCTGTACAGCACTTGTAGCCTTAAGGGCACTGCCAGCATATAGACCACTGCCATGGGCTTACCTAATTGCCATTCATTTCAATCAGGCTTTCACAGGATAACCTTCCAATAATCTGCAGAACTTGCAGTTTTACAAGTGACGTATAGTGTTCATTCTGCATCTGCAATGAGGTGATTATTATTTTATTTTATTTTATTAGTGTGACAGCAAGTATTCTTTGGTATTCCTTGCCTATTAAGATTAGGCTGGGACCCTCACTAGACTATTTTAAATGCCTGCTGAAACAAACAAACCCCTTATTATTATTATTATTATTATTATTATTATTATTATTTCAGCAAGCATAGTTGGACACAAAGCCTAGTTATGCATACCTGTCTTTAAAATTCTGCTGATTTTGTCTGCAAGATGCTGGGATGCTGCAGGTTGTTATGTGAGTGGTGCAGCCCCACCATACCATCTGCTGCTGCTTATAAGTATCTATGCATTTCCCTTCCTCAGTTGGCGAAACTCCACCCTGCATTTCCCCTGAAATCTCACCCTCATCAGGTATTCCACCAAGCCACTCAGCCAGCGTGTTTCCCTTTCCTGAAACATCTCCAACCATAAGGCGACCTTCAGCTTCTTAAAATACCATGTGGGCCAAATTCTTCAGATGCCCCTGAAGATAAGGGCAAACATAGGTCCCACCTGGTTCATGATCATCCAATGTGAAAACAATAGTGAAAACCATATTGGCCTTCCAACTCTTTTTATAGTGAATTTGATCATTCCTCTAAATCAAGGATGGGAAACCTGTGGTTCTCCATATGTCCTGGAATCACAACGCTCACCAGTCCCAAGTGTTGGCCATATTAGCTGTGGCTGGTGGGATTTGGAATCCAACAATTTAGAAGAAGAAGAAGAGGAGGAGTTTGGATTTGATATCCCGCTTTATCACTACCCTAAGGAGTCTCAAAGCGGCTAACATTCTCCTTTCCCTTCCTCCCCCACAACAAGCACTCTGTGAGGTGAGTGGGGCTGAGAGACTTCAGAGAAGTGTGACTGGCCCAAGGTCACCCAGCAGCTGCATGTGGAGGAGTGGGGAATCGAACCCAGTTCACCAGATTACGAGACTACTGCTCTTAACCACTACACCACACTGGCTCACATGTTTTAGAATTTAGAAGTCCACATGTTCTCCATCTCTGATCTAAGTGAAGAGAGCAGGACTTGAAACCTCCCAGATTCTATTCCAATAAGACACAGTGACTGGGCGCATTTCATACAAGTAACAGGCTTTTTAACAAAGAGAGCAACCTCTAAGTGTTCAACAGTTATCTAGCTGCAGAAGTGAAGCTCAAACATATATAAAAACATCTCAAAGTGGATTTTTAACTCCCGATTTTAAGTTGCTTGTGATTTTCAGAACCTGCTTCATATCTTCTTTTTTTAGCATTTGATGTTCTCAGTATATTATATTCCATTTCAAATGCTGTAATGTTCATTTTTCACACGTTAAATTCAATTACGTTCAACATCCATACAGAGGAAGAATCCTCATGAGGCAGGGAAATAGTCTGAGAGAAGTGGTGTTGGGGTTTTTTGTGTTGTTGTTTTTTAACTATTATGTGTGAAACGCTTCCATTCTGTATTTCCTTCTGCATTTTGCCTTTCTTCATGTATGGCTACATTAAGTCCAAGGAATGGCAAACGAAGCCACATAGGAACATAAAACCACAGGATGAATAGTGTCCTAGCAGGGTTTACTTTATGTAATTTGGCATCAAAGGTGAAAACAGTGCAGAATTCCCTTCTACCACATTCATTATGGCTCTAATGAGCTTTTCGATTTCCTCCACCTGCAAAGGATTCTCTGTTAATTTAAATGGAAAGGACCTGATCTCTGCATGGAGTCCATTGCATGCCTCACAAGGATAAGGCAATCAAGGCTTTATTGGGATCCGGAAAGTCCATAAGTACATCAGAGCTAATTCTCAATTGAGGAAGCCTATAGGGATGTAAGAAGGTGTCGTTTTACATTTTGCCCTGCATTGGTCACATGCATTGGTCGCTGTCTCCATTCTGCTGCAGTTTGTCTTCTGCCAGAACTACATTATCTGTCTCTGTCTGCTGTGGTTAGTCTAGAGTTTGTGCTTTAACTCAGTTTCTTTTTATTTATTTGCCCGAAAACTGGGAGTTAAGAGTAGTGTTAGTTCTTAATAAGCGACTGGGTAGAATATGCCTTGCTTGTTTTTGCCTGCATATACACAAATAAAATGGAACAGACTTACACTTAACAAAAAAGAAGCCTGAAAACTCAAAGAAGGGACCTGGGATCTCAATGAAAGGGAATGGCCCTCACAGGCCTACCTATGGAGAGGTTTGGTGGCACCAGACAGCAGGGATTGGTCAATTGCTGATGACCCAGAACCACCACTCTTCCATCACTTCCTGTTCTTCCATTAGCTCTACTGCATCCTCTTCCTCTCTCCGCTATTTGTGAGAACGTCTTTCCTTCCCATCTATCCACTGATAGAAGGGCAGGAGGATGTGAGAGAGGAACTGGTGCTACCTGTCCGTCACGGCATGTGTAGAGGCACACCTGAGGGCCCATGCAAACCTGAAGCAGATACTACAGCACTGGAACGGATATCTGTTGTCAAGGATCCTCGAAATGTCCCTAGCCCCTCCAGCTTGCTGTTCTTTGCCTTTATCTACCTTCCCAACTCCCTTGTTTTCTTCATTTTGAAATTTAGCTTGGAAGCGCCTTGAAGGCAGGGGACTGCATACATCGCTGCGTCCATTGGCAGTGCTGCTGATGCAAACACTTATTCCTTCCATCTGGTTTTATCCTAAGATCTATGATTTCCTAGTAAGCAAGGTGACATCATAATAGGTAAGGTAAAGGGACCCCTGACCATTAGGTCCAGTCGTGACAGACTCTGGGGTTGCGGCGCTCATCTCGCTTTATTGGCTGAGGGAGCCAGCATACAGCTTCTGGGTCATGTGGCCAGCATGACTCAGCCACTTCTGGCGAACCAGAGCAGCACACAGAAACACCGTTTACCTTCCTGCCGGAGCGGTAGCTATTTATCTACTTGCACTTTTGACGTGATTTTGAACTGCTAGGTTGGCAGGAGCTGGGACCGAGCAATGGGAGCTCACCCCGTCGCGGGGATTTGAACCACCGACCTTCTGATCGGCAAGTCCTAGGCTCTGTGGTTTAACCCACAGCACTACCCGCGTCCCTTGACATCATAATACATATGAATAATTAATCCCATCCAAGATGGCAACAAATAAGAAAATTCAAAATTTAAATATAAAAAATATAAGCTAGTAAGTAGAGCATGAGACTCTTAATCTCAGGGTTGTGCATTCGAGTCCCACACGGGGCAAAAGATTCCTGCATTGTAGAGGGTTGGACTAGATGATTCTCGAGGTCCCTTCCAACTCTGCAATTCTAGGAATCTATGATCAAAGTTTGTGTTTTATTCCCACGTTTATTAAGCTAATCCTCGCTCCTCCAAGACAATGGGGGGGGGGGAATAGTTTCTCAGCAATTTCCCTCAATTTGTATTTGAAGTCAGCAATTTCAGTTGGGGAAAATATTGTCAGATTTCAATTTTTTGCCATTTCCCATTTCAGCTCAACAAAGGATATGTGTGTTGAGCAGCAAATGCAGGCATGCTTTCTGGCATGCAAAGAGCAGGTTAATTATAATTGATACCCACCAAAGGGTCCGTTTTCTTTACTTACTGTTAGAATGTATAGGGCCAATTATTTGGGAAGGGGGGGAAAGGGTGTGGCTATTAGTTAATGCAAGTGATTAGTTTGAGCTATTTGCATACACTGTGCAGGCAGCTACTAAAATGTAAATAAGCATCCCGCCCCTTTCATAAATTAAATGCAAACTGTCTGGCTCAGAAAATGAACATTTCAATACCTTCAGACACACAATGACATCATATCAATATTTAAAATCATTTTATGCATGTATTCCAGGTTGTCCAACTTCATTAGGGGCATTCATCAACCCTCCGGCTAGAGGAAATTCCCACTAGAGTTGTAGGCCTCGGGCCCTACCAAACAGAAATTTAAACTAACTTGCCTTTTTAATTCACATTATTCTCAAATATTCCCTTTTTTAACCCCCTGCCATGACTAAGGCATTTAGACCTAGCTATGATTATGAGCGTGTCAACATTTAAGCGACAAAGTCCCCGTAAGAATGTGTGCAAATGTCTATAATGCAGGTCTTTGCTTTCCTTTCCTTTTTGATTCTTTCTCCTGTGCCCCCCTCCCTGCACTTGTTTCCTTTCTAAATAATCTTCTTTTGCTAAATAATAAAGTAATTATTTCAGTCCGTGGTTGGAAATGTCGGGTTGTTGTTTTTATGGTCTTTAAAAATGCATCTGCGCTGCAAAGCAATTACATTTCATTCCTTTCGCATTCATCCTTCCCTCTTTCCAAAACAAATCTCTTGATCTATTTTTTATATAGCTGAGGATGATGACTGAATCTCCCCCCCAGCCCCCACCTTCTCTGGGTGGCATCATATCTTGATATATTAATAGAAGTTTCCTTTCCCGCAAATAAGATAAACAACATCCTTGCCTTCCCGTTCAACAAAGCAGCTACAGATCTGTACTGCGCAAGGTGTAGGCCAGGACCTGAATGCCTTTGACATCTCCAGTGCAGGTGCTGCCTTTTAATCTTACAGATCATGGGCAGACCAGCCTTCCATTGCAAATGTGGGGCAAAATCAGTGTCACGTCAAAGCGCTTGGTTATTCACTCAGTCATTCATTTAAACTTATACCCCACCTTATTTCCCGAAAAGAAACTTAAAGTGGTGAACAAAGAAAAAAGAAGAAAAAGCTTTTATCACATCCAAGTATATCTTATCATAGTCAGTAAAGGTAAAAGGTAAAGCTAAAAGACTCCTGGATGGTTAAGTCCAGTCAAAGGCAACTACGGGGTTGCGGCACTCATCTCACTTTCAGGCCAAGGGAACCAGCGTTTGTCCACAGACAGCTTTTCACGTCATGTGGCCAGCATGACTAAACAGCTACTAGCACAACAGATGGAAACCAGAGCGCACGGAAATGCAGTTTACCTTCCTGCCACAGCGGTACCTATTTATCTACTTGCAGTGGTGTGCTTTCGAACTGCTAGGTTGGCAGGAGCTGGGACAGAGCAACAGAAGCTCACCCGGTCACAGGGTGAGCCAGTTTGACCTGGGCACTTGCAGAGACAGCTCTTTGTGTGGCTCATCTCACAAAATTTCCATTCAGCCTTAGGTCTATGTGTTTCCTTCCCAATTTTGTAAGCACACAGAATTAAATCACGCATTTGAGAAAAGAAGAAGAAAATCCGATCGCCCAAGTTTTATACAGCAGTGAGTTCCACACTATATGCAGCTTATTCCCTACACTGATGGCCTCCACAACTTCCTTTGATGTTTTATGGTGGCTGTTCTCCACAGCAACAGCAAACTTTCTGGGACATTCAAGTACATACAAGAGAAAATGTGATGCAGTGGCTAATAGGCTGAGCAGTGAATGAAATAGACCTGGGCTCAAATCCCATCTTTGGGGTTGGAAGGAGTGGGGCTGGTGGGGGCAATGATGTTGGGGTTGGGTTGGTACACACTTTTTTTTCTTCACAATAATATTTATTATTTGTCATACAAAGACATAACAAAAGAGAAAGTTAACAATAATAAAAGGGGAAAAAAATAAAACGACAAGAAAAAAAAAAGAAAAAAGAATATGAAACACCAAATACATCAAGTCACCACATAAACTAAAACTTAATTAAATAATTAAAATCCATCTTCATCAACATATTATTTGACTTCCTCTAATCTTTTCCATTCTGAATTTCTTAGTAATTATATATAGCAGTTTCCAATATCATTATTTCATAAAACCATATCACAGTCATAATCGTGTTTCCTAACTTTTCTTATCGTACATTTTCTTATTTATTTAATCCCAATTTAGTCCTAGGCCTAATTGATTCTTTCAAGTGGTTACAAATCTTTAATATTACAATATTTATTCAAATAGTCTTTAAATTTCTTCCAGTGGGTTGGTACACATTTTTTGAGCTCATGTGCACAGGTTGAATAAGAGCTGGATCAGGCCAATGACCCATCTCGTCCAGCATCCTGTCCTCATAATGGCCACACAAATGCCTATGGGAAGGCTGCGAGCACTGGGTGCAACAGCACTCTCCCTACTCGTGTTTCCCAGCAACCAGCCATCAGAGGCACACTGCCTCCCAAAGTAGGACATAGCAGCCAGGTTTATCCTTTATCCTCTGGGAATTTGTCTCATCCTCATTGAAAGCCATCCAGCATCAGAAGAGGTCTGTTGTGGTGCCATGACATCATCACAGTGGATACCTGATTGGCTGGAACAAACAAATGTGAGAACAAGTGCCCTGTTCTTTTTTTAAACTGTTGTTTGAACGCACCAATCAAAAGGGGGCAGCAATACATTTGTGACAACCCCCCCTCCCTTTTCATGTTGAAAACACTAGCCCTTGAAAATTCATTTCAGCTCTAATAAATATTTAGATGATGCAGCACTTTTTGTGTGTGTGTGTGTAACTGGAATGCTGTTACACTCAGATCCAATAATGAATCGCTTATCATAATTTTCAAAGTGGGGTGGGGGACTAATGGGATGAAGTGCTCTGAATTCTGAATTGTTCCGTGTGGTGTGGCAGCTCTTCACATTTTTTAAGAGCACTCCATTTTGGAAGTGTATGGGCAGTTTGGGCCAAGCAGCCTATGAGCCAATTTAAATTTCCTGGATCGCTCTAACAATTTGAAGAGTACTCCAGTCATTTTTAAACAATTCCTCACCAATTTTATTGACAAATAGCGCCAATTTAATTGTTGTGTTGAGGATTGAATTTGTGGCGTTCGATAGTACTTAACAACAACAATACTCCCTCTAATTTGGTATTTTAAACACAATGTCTTTGCTCCCAATTTTCTCTCTGCAGAGCTTGCACTGCCCCCTAAATGGTTGGGGATCCTTGGGAGCGGTGGGAGATGAGGGTGGGGTCTGCATATGGAGAGGAAAGTTGATAAATACCACCCATACTTGAACAAAGGAACAACTTTGAATCTAAGCTATTAGCCCTGTTCAGATATTCAGAATCCATGACTAATGAACATCAGATGGAGGATTGGAACTGAATCCACTGGAGGAGCAGGTATCAGAATTTGAAGAGGAAGAGGCTGTGTCAGAGAGCAGTCCAGAAGCAGAGGAAGAAGCAGAGGCTAGAGAGGAGGGGGTAAAGAGATAGAGATGGGACAGGCTGCTGAGGAAGCCAGTGGGTCTCCCCCTCCTGCTGTGACCAGCTCCACCCCACCCCACCCCTGGTCTCCCAGAACCTGAAGAGGTATGAAGTGGGCAGAGCAAAGACAGACATGATGGAGAAGTCATCATTAGAAAAAACCTTGGAGAGGATGGGACTTAAGGCAGCTAGGGAAAGGTGAGGGCCTCCAGTCCCCAAATTCCAGGCATGGATCCAAAATCTGAACAGAGCCTATGCATGTTCCCAAATGTCCATATAGAGCATGCATGTCTAAGAACAAAAGAGCCATCCAAGTTGGTCGCCATCACTGTCTCCTCTGGGAGCCAGTTCCAAAGCTTAACTGTGCACTGTGTGAAGAAGTACTTTCTTTTATCTGACCTGAATCTTGCAACATCCACGAGTTCTAGTGTTATGAGTGTCTAGTGTCTACAGATGTTTGGAGGCTCTGTTCAGGCCATTAGATGAATACATAGAGGTCAAGGGCTGGAAGAAAAGATGAAATGG